CAGAAATTGACACGGCAACCACAGGACCACCAAGACCTTCATACACAGACACGCACAGAAACCCAAGGTCCAGCATCAATCACGACTGCTCTACTCGAGAGATTCCATTCCTGCCTGCGACACACCTAGGCATATCGTTTACCCTGCCTGCCCCCTCCTGTGTGCTGGTACACCGCATCGTCTGAGTGACTCCATCCGCCCCAAAAAAGACCAGCCCCTTGAATCCAAAGCCAGTGTCAAAGCCCAACGGGTGACGCCTGTTAGGCAGTCAGCAAGAAAAACTGGCCCAACTCAAGAGCCAGCCTTTGCTCTGCCTCCCGCGGGCAGAGCCACCGTTCGGCGTCATCAACCACGGCGACATCGGTTTCATACGCGGACACCAAGCCTCTGTACACGGACATTGTGCCGCTACAAGAGGCAGCACGACCATCAACGTGGATATAACTTCACTCCTAAAGTCTTCCGACTCAAATGAGTCCCAAGGCTTCTCTCACCAACCCTTGCGCGATCCAGCACCACCCTCCCATTCGATTCCGACGTTATCTGCCCATGGACAACAACCACCTCCGCCACTAATCCCAGGAACCGGGGCCGTACCTCCTCCACGTCCCGTCAGCTCTATACCGATGCCCGGTCCCCGACGTAGCATGCCACCTCAAGGTTCAGATCTGCCGGTCAAGAAGCAGAGCAAGTGGTCACCGGAGGAAGATGCCCTCATCATTGAGCTACGGGGCAGCGGGATGAAGTGGGAGGATGTGTCGAAGCGTCTTCCTGGAAGAAGTGCCATTAGTTGTCGGCTTCACTACCAGAACTACCTCGAAAGACGCAGCGAATGGGACGAAGAGCGCAAGAATAAACTTGCCCGACTTTACGAGAGGTAAGCCGTTTCTTTTGCCTTTCTTTGCTTTTTTGTCCGCGGCTGGGGTCTAATACGGCAATTATTTACGCGGTTTCCACCGCCACCATGCCACGTACCCAGGCAGACAAGGTCTAACAATCCAATAGGTTTAAATCAGAGATGTGGGCTAAGGTGGCTGAAGAACTTGCTGTTCCCTGGAGGGCTGCAGAAGCAATGCATTGGCAACTTGGCGAGGCAGACATGGCTCGAAGGGCCGGAGTGGTTCCATTTTCTCTCGCGGCGGTCAATGTCGAAGGCGGTCATCGAACTGCACCACCACGAGCTAACATTCACTTCCAGCCTCCCGACACTGTCGGTCGACACCTCACTCCACCTTCTCCTCGAGCAATGTACGCCCGAAATCCTCCTGTCTCAGCAATGCCCACTGGTCATATACCAAGAGGCGAAAATGTTGGCGCGCCGGTCCCTCCGCCCCTCGCAGGGGCTGGGCCAGCGCAGGGATCCATGACGGAGCAACACGGCGAATTTTATTATAGCCCAGGGCCTGTATCCGTCGGTCCTGGTCTTGCTCCTATCCAACACCAAGGGCAGCCACGGAATCCTGGACCATTGCCTAGTCTTGCTGAACTTACGACGGGTGTCAGTCCATACGCGCAACAACTCGATCGACCACGTTCAGGGCGTCTGACTCCAGGCCCAAAGCATGGGATGCCGATGCAGACTCCCCCTAGCTATCACCAACAACTGGATGCCCGAGTGAAGCGCAGAGCGAGCCCAGAAACGATGAAACGCGAGGGAAGCCACCGACGACGATTGGGGTGATTCAAAGCTGATTTTTTTTCTTCACTATTCTTATCTTTTTTTTTTTTTATATGATCCATCTTTTCATATAAGCAAGGTTTTAAATCATGGGGAAACATTCAAATAGAGGGAAAGCGAAATTTCATGGGATACTTTGGAAGGGTTAAAGCGAGCGATTATGCATACTGGGAGCGGCGGTATTTGTTAACGACACCATTCCACTATCTTTTTTTTTATTTCTATTTTTATGTTCTTATTTTTTATTCTTCTACAAGATACCACTAAATCTATCATCGGTCTGTGAGCTTCTGGTGCAATAGGGAAGGGAGGGATTACTGAACGATGCGGGTATGGAGGACATTATGGTTGGAATACAACAAGCACAGGGACTGGGTGCATTTCTTGATTTAAAGAGCTGATACGGGGCCAGTTGGATTGGCTGATAGCTGGTGATTCATGAACTGTACGTATAGAGGCATGGGCTGGAAAGACAAAAAGGCATTACATAGAGCCGCTATGGCAGTAATTCGCATATTTTACAGGATGAGGGTATGTTTAACTTGACGTTTTTTGTCATGGCCCAGGAATTTGCTCCGACGGACCGAGCCCATGTAGTTGAGCAGGGCAAGCAAGACACAAAGTTTGCAAGATTGGCAGTGCATTCGGATTGCTCGCGTCTATGACATGCCGGCCCGTTATATTCGGTGGAGCTAGCCATTTCAGTTCATTCGTGAGCGCCGGCCATATCCACACAAGTATGTGACAAGTTGATGATTGCCAATCTAAGAAGTTAAGAAAGTGCCATGTGATGCCAACTTTGCCCATGACGTTGACGCACACACGCTCACACGCACCACAAGAGGCAATCCGCCATTGGCCGTCCAACACTTGATGTATTGCATATGTTTTGTGTATATATATATATATATATATGACATTTCATACATTCACACGCCGTCAACGTCACCTCGGATGCCCAAAGATGACCCACCAGTTATCCCTCTCATAGCCCCTGTCGCAAACCTCGCCGCCGGCGGCAACAACGTCCTCCTCGAGCTCGCCCTCCCTAAACAGGTGATAGTAGCGGTGGTGCGTCTCGTCGGGCTGGGCGCCCTTGCGCAGCGTCACCCACGGCCCCAGCGTGTCCTGGCGCGAGGACTCGTCCCACCCCCTCCTGCTGGCGCTCTGCTCCAGGGCCCAGACGTAGACGAGGGCCCTGCCGCGCGGGGCCAGGCAGCCGAGCATCTGGGCGAGGGCGTCGCGCCGCCGCTGCCGCGTGGACAGGTGGTGGACGACGGCGATGCAGATGACGAAGTCGACGGAGCGGGGGCGGTAGGGGAGCGACAGGCCGTCGGCGGTGACGACGTCGGCGGCGCGCTCGGCGCGGGCGAGCCGCGCGAGGGGGGGGGACCGGTCCGACGCGAGCATGTGCAGCGTCGGGTTGACGGGGATGTATTTGCCGTTGCCGCAGCCGACGTCGAGCCCGACGCTGCCGGGGGCGAGGGACGTGAGGAACTGCTGGACGAAGGGCCAGGGCTTGTGGCGCGTCGCGCTGAAGTGAGGCGCGATGGCTTCGTAGACGGCGTGCACGTGGGCTTGTTCGTAGGCCGCTGGGGGGGATGGAGGCGATGACATATTTTTGGCGGGGGGGATATGAGAAGTTGATGCGTCTGAGGTGGCTGGATTGTGTTTTCTGGATGGTCCGGGGTGCTGCGATATCACGGTGTGAGCATGTTAGATGGTGCGTTTTGGTTGGCGTTGAGTTGCGCGGCTGGTGTTGTTGGACATGTTGGGTGTGGTGATGGGGGAAAAGTTTCTCGTTTTGGTGTTGATGGGGTGAGGTGAGCCCGCTGGTGGTTCAGTTCTACCTAGTTTGTTCGGTCTGCACGGGCCGATGGCGTCGACTTGTGCACGAGGTTCCCGTGCTTGATGCCGTTTACTCTTTTTTCCTCCTTTACTTTTTCTGTTTGACTATTTTACGCACTGGTAGTTGTACGCGTGCTTCATCATATCAATCTACACATGGTGTTGACATGAAGTCGAATCCCTGCCCCACCAATCACGTGCCAGACCAGTCAAAGATATGTACTACGTACTCCGTACTCCGGTATGCTTACAAAAATATAGACGAGACCGCGCACCACGACGCGAGTCGTATTAATGCCTCTGAACCCCCGCGGCTTGCAACGCTGCATTTCAAATTTGCCAGTCTCGGCCAACCTTAAATACACGGGCCATGCGAATGTGAGGCCTTTTCCCCCCCCCTCCCCTCTCTGCTGCCCAATCCTTGATGCCTACTCCGCACTACAAGAGTCTTCCAGAACAATAACTACGAAGTACCTCCTTAGGAGGACAAATTAAAGCAGTTCACCAAAAACCCGTTGTAGGCCAAGACACTCCTCAAAATGTGACAACAACGGGCACACCACCCCCTTGTACCTGGTCGCGAACGCCAAGTGGACTTGACACATGGGACACCCACCCCATCCATGCCGCAGGGTGTTCCTTGATGGGGGTGGTTGGGGGCGCAGAAACTCAGCTGGGATCCCGGTCGTGGGCGGGGAGAACTAGGGGAGGGGGGAATAATACGGTGCGTGACGAGATGAGTTTTGAATGGGCGTCGTCTCCTTTGTCTCGGAGCATTTTGGGTTTTGGGACTCTGTCCTGTGGTTGTATTGCTAATTTGGTAGATTATGCGGTTTTACAACAAAAAGTCAATATTCGTGTGTCGGTTGCAACTTTGCTGCCTGGCCGCGTCGCGACGGTGGGCCAGCGCATTGCTGAGATGACTATATATGGACAAAGATTAAAGCATGTGCGGTGAGAGTGGCGCCAGTTTTTGTTTTTTTTTTGTTTTTTTTTTAATCCGGGCCTTTTTTCTGGGTTGGAAAGGGGAAGTAAAAGAGAGAGCCAAATCTGACGAGTCCCCGTGCTATTCGTCGGCGGCGCAATGACGGACCGATCTCGTGCTAAAGATGGGCCGAATCGAATAAAGGGAAAAAAACAAAAACCGGAGTTGGCTGTTGCCTGCATGAACGGCCATATGAGGCTCGGGTTGGCCGAAATGGAAGAACATGTCTAAGACAAGAGACGACGGGCGGGTACGGGGACTGAAGAAAAAAACAGGAAAAGAACGTTGAATTGATTAGGCAGCGGGGGGGAGGGGAGTCTCGCCTTTTCTTTTCTTTCTTTCTTTCTTTCTGTTTGATCCTTGTCATCTTAGTTACACACCCTCCTTCTCCTCGGCCCCCGCCCGTGCTTTTCTGTATCATTGTGGGAAATGCCCGAATATTCCAAAGAGTCAAGTTGATCAATACTGTACGTATGTACGTAGTTGCAGTTATTTGTTTCCCGTGTTCAGTGGACTCTTTTCGTCAAAGACATCCGTGGTTATCAGGTCGGGGTAGGCGACGCCGCCTTGCCGGAGGGCGTCCTCCATGGTCTGCATGATGACGATGCTCTCGTCCCATGGCATCGTGGCGCTCTGCTGCTTGCCGTCGCGCAGGCACCGTGCGCACTCGTCTGCCTCCCAGAACATGCCGTGGCCCCAGTTGCCGCGCGCCGGGTCCGTGGGGATCGGGCACTCGACCACCTTGACGGTGCCGTCGCCGTCCTTCTTGATGACGCTGTAGGAGAGCGGGCGGTACGCAGGGTGCGGCACTTGGATTTCGCCCTTGGACCCCTGGATGCGGATGGCGGGTGCCGCCGTCGCGTCGCCGTGCGGGCTGGTGCCGACGAGCATGGACGTCGTCGCCACGCCCATGGCCCTAGTGCCCGGGAAGTGGCAGATGATGCTGGTGTTTTCGTCGGCCCCCGTGCGGTACTGGTTCATCGCCGCGAGCACGCGCGGCGCCTCCTTGGTCGCCGACGGCTGGACGTGGTAGAGCGTCTGGAAGACCCAGGTGAGTGGGTAGACGCCGAGGTCGAGGAGCGCGCCGCCCGCGAGGTCCTTGTTGACCATGCGGTGCGTGTCGGGGAAGCTGACGATGCCGTCTGTCTGCGGCGTGTTTTCGTTGAACGAGAGGTCGGCCAGCGTCCTGTAGACGGTGCCAATTTCCCCACTGCTAATCATCTCGCGGATCTTGATGCTCAGCGGGAAGTATCTCGTCCAGACGGCCTCCATGAAGAACACCTTCTTCTCCTTGGCCTTGGCGACCAGCTTCCTGGCCTGGCTCGCCGTCACGGTCAGCGCCTTCTCGCAGAGCACGTTCTTGCCGGCTTCCAGCGCCAGCATGGCATTCTGGAAGTGGTGGCTATGCGGGGTGGCGACGTAGACGATGTCGACGTTGGCATCAGCCACGAGCTCGGCATAGGAGCCGTATGCCTTGGCCGTAGACGGGCCGTCGATCTTCTTGATGAAGTTGGCGGCGCGGTCTGCCGAGCTGGAGGACGACACGGCGACGATTTGGTGCTTGATGTCGTGCACGGAGCGGGTGGCCGGGTCGGTGAGGAGGTCTTTGCAGAAGGCTACCTGACGTTAGCTTGGGCGATGGCCGAATCACGAGGTTTTGATAAAAACGGCCAGCCTTACTCTCTGCGATGCCGCCCGTGGCCATGATGCCCCATTTGACCGTGTATGGAGTTCCAGAGCCCATTTTTGTATTGCGTTGTCGGTGGGTGGGTTGTCTTCTCTTTTGAAATGGTGGCAAGGAGGGTTGTTTTGGGTGTTTTGTTTATGATGACTGCACACGATGACGGCAATGACCGACGCAGCTTTTGTTTTTGTAGATTTATAGTGTAGCAGGCAGCTTCTTGTCCGAATTGCGCAACGAGCTGGCTTAGCCGCCCCAATCAGGAGTCCGTCACGGATGGAGATCAAGTCATGGCGCGGAAGCTTCAAGCTACGTTGAACAGATGGCGGGGCTCGTGTGGTCACTGGTGACATTCGTAGCGCCTCTGGGTAACTGTTTCATATTGTGCTGCTTTTTCTTTCTTGATGTCGTGATGTTTCTTCTGTCGAAGCAAGTCTCAAGCGTGCCCATCTCAACTTATGCTGACAAAGTCCAATCCTCGACCTCTTGCGCACGTTTGCCTCGATTCTATTTGCCCCCCAACCGAAACACATTGGCTTTCGGAGATTTTCTACCAATTCAGGCTGTGGATAAAATACTAGTGAGCCTTGGCTGAGAGGGAATCCGGCAGCTGGAATCCTTGGGAGGTGACGAGAAGCATGAGGGGTTAATGGCGGGGTAAGATTCCAGTCCGAGCCCGGCGCCCACTATCCCTCTGTGCAACTGTGAACATTTCAAGTGTGGAGCAGGCAGCTACGGAAAGCCAGGTGCCGTTTATGGACGTCATCTCCGGCCCTCCAACATCAACGTTACCTCTGGTCGTCCGTCGCTTCATGGTTCCGGCCTTGACGACGCTGGCGGAATTAAATCCACGTCTGCTCGCATCTGTTCATGTCGCAAGGACACACTATCCGTGTTGAAGCCTTGCAGTAGTACATGTCGCTATGAACTCGTTAATACCTCGGAGCTCGGAATGGGGCTGAGGTCGTCGTTGATCAACTGCGAGCTTTACCCAATCATGTTTGCGCCCAGGACCACTTCACAACTCCGACGCTGGCCACACATCTGGCAGGATTCCCATGCTAGATGGCACGCTTTTGTTTTCCTCCCAACTTCCAGTTTTCGCAGTTTCCGCTATGGCTCAAGCTGGCGTAGGATCCCAGGCTTCTCGCCTCGCCAAGGACCTAACCCTCGCCGGCCAGTCCGCCACCACGATCCCCAAGCTGGTATACGGCACGGCGTGGAAAAAGGAAAGGACTGCCGATCTGGTATATACTGCGCTGAAGGCCGGCTTCCGTGGCATCGACACGGCTGCGCAGCCCAAGCATTACGACGAGCTGGGCGTGGCTACTGGTGTGAAGCGTGCCATTGCCCAAGGCATCATTACGCGCGGAAACCTATTCGTATGCGCCACATTCATCGAGGGAGCCCAGTGATAGCATATGCGACTGACCTATACATGCCGTAGATTCAAACCAAGTTTACTGCTCCAGGGGGCCAAAACCACATGACGCCATATGACCCCAATGCCCCTTTAGCCGAAAAGGTCGACCAGTCGATCCGCTCGTCACTGAAAAACTTCACCATTGAAGGGGAAGAGCCATACCTCGACAGCGTGGTGCTTCACTCGCCCATGGACACGGTCCAGGACACCATGACGGTTTGGAAGACTCTCGAGTCCTACCACCCCCGAACGATCCGCAATATCGGCATATCCAACACCACCCTGCACGTGCTCGAGGCCCTCTACACCAACATGACCGTCAAACCGTCGGTTGTGCAGAACCGCTTCTACGATGGCACGGAATACGAGACGAGGCTCCGTGCTTATTGTCGCGGCAAGGACATTGTCTTCCAGTCGTTTTGGACCTTGAGCGCTAACCCGTCGCTGGTGAAGAGCGGGCCCGTGAAGCTGGTTGCCCGGGGTGCTGGTGTTGAAGTTGCAGCCGCGTACTATGCGTTGGTAATTGGACTGGAAGGTGTTGTGGTTTTGGACGGGACGACAAACGAGTCTCATATGAAGGAGGACCTGGAGGGACTGGAAAGGGTGGGCGTATGGGCTGAAGGGCCTGGGGCTTCCGATTGGGCGTCTGCGCTGGCTGCGTTTAAGGACTTGATCGGCAATAACGGATAATCTCTGCAGAGTAAGAGAAGACGATGGACACGTATGTGCAGTCATGTAATCGTGAAATTGGTTACCAGGTCGTCGCGTGGCGTCTGTGCAAACGACTCTTGACGCGAAGGCGTGCCAGAATCCTGCGAGACGGCTTACATTTGTGGTGCTCGTACAAGTGGGCGTCCTCAATCGTCTGCCTCCTATTCTTGAGCCTTCATGGTGAAACAAAATCTTTGCAACCCGCTTAAAATTGTCGGCATCACATGGACGATCCCCTGTGGCGCGTAGCGAGATCGTTGTTTTTTGTCTGAGACCTGCCTAAACTCAGATCTGCGCCAAGTTCGCCTTGGACCTCACCGATACAAGGTAGTAGGTGTCATGTAAAATGTGCCCACGTTATTTTAGTGTCCCTCTAGGATCGATGAGGCGATGCGAAGTTGAAGGTTGAAAATAGAGTACGAATTGAAGCATCGTACTCTCAGTTTGCCACCGTGTGTGCCGAGTCACCAAGTACAATACAGCCACACACCAGCACATTATCGTATATGCAATAGCATCCCTGCGTGATGTAATGACACCTTCTCTGTCACATGTCGAAGGATTGCCTAAAGTCAATCTAATTGAACAATAAAACGCATGGGGTTGATGGGGAAAAAAAGTCAACAGTATAAGACACGTTGAAAAGGCCTTTTCGTCTTTTATTTCCCCGACCAGAAACAAGACTCCTGGGTGATGACACTCGGAACAATATTGAATCTTTGGCTACCGTGTATTAATTCGACCCCTGGCGACGGCTAGTCAACAGGGCGGCCGTTTTATTACAAGTCTTTGGCAAACGTGTTGGCAACAATAAATGGGAAGCAAGCAGTAGCCTCCATGTACACCTTGAAATTGTTTAGCATGCTAAATCGCAACCCGACGGCACTGCATCGACTTACCTTGACACTGTCCGCGCCTATTTTGATCTTGCCCCAGGAAACGGCCTCATCAGGCCGGGCGCCGGCATCGCTGCCGTCAAACTCCTGCGCGGTATTAATGTACACAGCGCTCTCGGCACCATTCCTCATCAAACAAGCATTCGCAATGTGGTGCTTCACAATACCACCTCCCAGAATAATCATGCCCGCCCTCTTGGCTCTCACCGAAATGGTATTTATCCTGCGTATATCCTCCACAATGTCAATCTTTAGTTGCAACGGCGACGCCTTGAAGGTGTGGAAGTACAGCATGTCTCCCAGGCTGCCATCCGTCAAAGCCGGACAGAAGACGGGGATGTCGTTCTTCCAAGCCCAGTAATAGACGGACCTTTCGTCGTTGATTTCCTTGCCCAGCCTGTGGATGATTTTCGACGGCGTCCAGTTGATTTCCTCGTCGGTGCCTTTGCTAGCCTCCTGCTCCTCCAGCATCTTGTCTAGTATGGGGACGACCCAGTCTTCAAAGGCGCAGTAGTTGGCGTTGGGGACGATGAGATTGCCGATGCGGTTGAGTCCCCTTTTGCGGAGGTCAGCGCCGGGCACGGAGAAGGAACTCATGTATGTCGTCCCGCTGCCGAGGCACTTGATGAAGTCTTCCTCTATGCCGCCGGCTGTGGTGACGATTGCTGAGACGTGCTTGTGTTGGGCGAGCCAGCGTAGGGTGCCGCGGAGCCCGGAAGAGATAAGGTTGGATGTGTAGCCCAGGAATATGGTCGTTTTCTCAGAAGTATCTGGGTCTTTCCATTCTCTCTGTTGAGATTGTTAGAAATGGTTTGTCGTTTGGGAAAGCCGGGAGGGGCTTGTTGCGGTGGCACGCTTTTATCAGCTGGTGATGGCGCAGAAGAAGAGGTGAAAAAAGGTTGGAGAATGTCTACTCGCCATCTCGTTTATGATTCGGATAGCTTCAGCCATACTTGATGCCTGGAAACCCATATGACGCATGCCGAGGAAGAGGTCTTCTGCGGTAATGGGCCGCTTGAGCTTGTTGAAGTCGAGCTCTTCAACGGGCTGCGAGCCGTCGGGCATGGCGTCCGACTTCATGAGCACTGCATCAGTGGCCTGCGAGGGTGGCGCATCCTGGGCCATGATGGCGACTGGGATATGATGTTGTGTTGTGAGAGCTGGGGAGCGAGCGCGTTGCAGGCTATTATCTATGGTTTTGCCTTCTTTTATATTGTCTCTATGGCTCGTGATGGCGAAGTTGCGAGTCTTGAAATTGGGACAGTACAAAGTACTTGGTATCCACATTTATCACATGTTGTCGAATTTTTCTGTAGCTCAACATCCGGTGCAAAGGAATAGTGGGCAAGCCGCCGTGGCAGGCAAGCAGGGCATCGGGAGTGCACAAGCAGCATTGAGGGTCCCAGCACTCAAGGGCTGGTGTGCTCTCTAATAAGTACCGTCGGTGAATGGCGGGCATCCATTGATGCTGCGGGTGCCCAAGCTTAAAGTACTTAAGTAAGTAAGTAAGTACCCGGTACCTAAGTACTTGAGTACGTGCGTGCTTGACACTTGGGCCCTCTGTACTCCGTACAAACCCAGGCACCTGCTTTGTACATGTGTAACTCGGCAACGGCCGTCGATGTTGAGCCTAGTTGGACTAATTCATTGGTCCTGCCTGGCCACTGACTGTCTGTGGGAGCGGCTGCAAACCCGATCAATTGGGCCTTGTGTCAACGTTCCAACGTTGACTGGCGTCGGGACCATGATCAAAATATGCGTCATGGCTGCGCCGGCGACAGGGCTTGTAGCATCCGCCAATATTAAGCGCAAAATTCTAGCCTTTGTTGTTTCATTCACTAATAAGCTTAGAATTAGATTTGTTTTTCTTCATCTTTTAACACTTCATCGAGGGCAGCCGTCGTCCCAACACTCCAGATGTCCCTTTGAAATCAAAAGACCCCAGTGCCAGCCCAGCCAAGGTCGCTCAACACACGGCCCAATCATCGTCAAGTGGCCCCGTACTCCGTACCGAGAATAGACTAGCGTCACGGCGGCAGTTTCGTTCTTATTGCCTTGGCAATTAAGCGCCAGGACAGACACGCAATTGAACATGGACGGGCTGGCGGACCCCAGCTGGGGGGCATCTTGCACTTTGCATCCATCTTCCCATCCGACTGCATTTTCAATATTTTCTGCTTGTCGCACGCTGTCGGCCGGTCGAAGCACCATTCAGCACATGTTAGGCGTCCCGGTTGGCCATTTTCTCGCTTACTCTGCCGCGTTGACGCGCTCGCCGCCGCCCCGACTCGCGCAGTAGTCCACGTCGTCTGTGTCGCCAGTCTCGTCGAGCCAAATCTCGAAGGGGTCATTTGACACCCCCCGTGGCTGTGGTTGGTTCGCAATCCGCAAACCCGCAACCCGCCACCCCCGACGGCAACCACACAGTTATCCCGAAACCCGCGGCCGCATTGAATCACCACCACCGCCCTGCATCCGGATGCGATCGTAATCGCCCTGCTGCGCCGAGGATACCGGGCCATTTGCATGTGTACACGATAAATGTATGTGCAAGTCCCTTGTTTGTTTATATTCGGGCAGGGCTGGTCCGTTGAACTCAAAAGTCACCGGGCTTAGTGCGGTTGACTTGGCTCGTGCATGGCCGCAAGGCTTAATCTGGAACCTGAAAATATTGAAATATTATGCTAACCATCAAACTTCCCTCCCAGGGCGTCTAGGTATTCTAGGTACGATCCGGAACGCCGGTCAAGATCGCCGAGAGACAGATCCCCGGACCGCTTTGACAGGGCCTCTCAATACGGCGACAACGATCGTCGTCGCTCGTCCGCCGAAGCCCGCTCTAATTCGTCAGGATTCCCGCCAAATCGCGATGGCTTCGGGGATTCCCTGCGGAGGGAGCCCCCAAGAGGCCCCAAAGCTCTTGTCGACGCCCCCAGCGGTCCCAGAGGAGGTGCATTTGGCGCTGACTTTCGCGGTCGAGGACGAGGCAGAGGCAGAGCTTGGCCGCCCAGAGACGAGAGCAGGGATCGCGGGAGGGATCGCGATATAGATTACAGGGACCGTTATCGAGAGGACCGTAGTCGCGAGCGGGAGCGTGATCGGGAGCGTGATCGGGAGCGTGATCGGGAGCGGGAGCGGGAGCGGGACAGAGATCGAGATTGGAGGGAATCACGAGACTTCAGGTCTCGCCGCTCACCCCCTCCTGGACGAGGTCGAACTCCGCCGCGAGATTTCCGTGACAGAGACAGAGATGGCCCTCTCTTACCGGATGCTGATAGATCCCGTCGTGGATCCAGAGACGGCGGTCCTCCATCAGCTGGCTCGTCAAATTCTGATCCACCCTTTGGAATGCTTCCCTTTGGACGCGGCGGTGGCTTCATGCGTGGTGGACGAGGAAGAGGAAGAGGCGACTGGCCGTCTGACCGCGGACGAGGACGAGCAACTTACGAAGATCGCGGCGATCGCTATCCCCGAAGTCGATCTCAAGAGGCTCGATGGGGTCGGGACCGGGATCGTGACGACCGTGACCGCGGCGATAGATACCCACCAGAGGCGGACATTATCAGGCGCGATCCCCGAGATGACCCCCGTGAGCGCAACGACCGCGATCTGATACGCCCCAAGAAAGAAGGACGTCCTTCAATATCCCAAGAGCCGTCTGCCCAAGGTCGTGAAGTTTCTCCGCCTCCTGTCGCACCCTCGGCCCCAGCATTTGGATCCGTTCCCAGTCGCACTGGCGCTGACGGTGTACCGGTGACAACGAGTGGTAGTGGCAAACTTCCTCCCTCGGCTCCGCGAGCTCTCACCGACCGCCCCGGATCCTCAGGAAACTCTGCGCCAATGGAGTCGTCGGCCCCCGTCAGCGGTCCGATAAGAGCGGGAAGCCATGACGGCCCTTCCATCCCTGTGGGACCTCGAGCGCATCAGCAACGGCCTTCAAGCAAACAATGGATCAACCCGGATCTCAAGAAAGCCCCGGTGTCGCCCAAGATGATGAGGGCTCAGACATTCGCGCAGTCAGGTTCAATTTCACGACGGGATAGTAGGGAAAGCGATCATCACCATTTTGAGCAAAGGAGACCTCGCAGTAGTGACGCAGACACTGACCCTCGTGGATTTGGTCATTTCGACAACAGGGCGAGATCAAACCACAGTGCCGAGCCTGGCGAGATCACGGTCAAGTCTGAATCAGAAAGGGGTTCTGTGACGTTGGAATCAACAAAGACGCCCGAAACTGCCCAGTCTTTCAAGGACGACCACCGCCCAAGCACAGCGAGTAATGCCGCAATCAAGCCAGTACAGGCCATCAAACGAGTGCGAAAACGCCCCGCTGTTGGTGTTTTACGATTTTCTCTGCCTCCCAAGACTGCACTCAAAGACCAGGATTCGGAGTCGGACGACGATGAGGACATGGCCGATTACTTTAACATGGAAATTGAAAAGACGGAAGCAGAACTTGCCAGATTACCAAAACCGAGCCTACCTACCGAAGTCGTTGCGCGGTACGCCGCATTGTCGCATGGCTCGATGGCGCGAATATTGAACGAAAGCGAAGGTTTGACAGATGTTCTAGGAACGGTTACCGAGACCTTGGATGTCGAATTGAGCAAGAGTCATGATGTTGTAACAGCGCCAACCAAGGATGTTGATGCTACGGCAGCACTCATTGAAACCCCCGTAGAAGTGACGGCCAAGGTGGAAACCGAAGAAATCGCCAAGCCTGATGTTGTCGACACCGTTCCTGAGCCCATTACGAAGACGGAGGAGATGGATCTTGATGCTCCTCGGGCTCCCTCTGTGCCGGCCAGTGATGTTCAATCAAAAGATGCAGCGGCCAGTAAACCATCATCTCGCCCTGTGTCGAGATCCGGCGCCTCTACTTCTGGTACTTCTATTCTTGCACATGAAGGTACGAAACAGCCGTCACAACCTCCCGAATCGATCCCAGAGGCGACCGAAGCTGCCTCAAAGCCTCCCAGCACTCCGTCGCAAATACCTGATGATGACGATGAAACCGAATCCGAGGACGAGGCGTACTTGGACCTGAAGACAGTGCGTCGATTCATGACAACGCCGCCCATTGACAGTCTGCCCGACTACAGCTGCGACAGCTGGGTGAAAGACAAGGACTTGCTGGCGACATTCGACACTGATTCCATCATTGACGAATATGTTATGGAACACCTGGACAAGATTCATCTTGAGGAATCTACCCAGCAAGAGCAAGCACGCAAGGCTTACGCCGACAAATATATTGACTATCTGGAATTTACACTCTCGAACGATCCGGCTGCTGTCAAGAGCAGGGACAAATTCTCCGTCGCGGTCCCCATGATTGAGCCCGCTGGTACGATAACGCCTGAGCCTAAACCAGAAGGGCGGAGCTCCGGCAGGAGGTTTGCTTCGGAACGTGACTTGGAGCGGGTTTTGCAAGCATCCATGCGAGAGGACGAGGAGAGGAAGGAGCGTGAGTTGAGGGCTCAAAAGGAAAAGTATCGCAGCGAAAAAGAAGCAGTGATTCCGGAGATGTACTGGGATGCCGAGGAGAGAGCGAAGGCTCAATATACGGACCGATCCGGCTACACACCGCAAGACCGTCTAGTCTCGGCATGGCACGTCCTGCCACCCCTCAACAACTTTACCGAGGAAGAGAACGAGCTATTCGAGAAGCGCTACCTCGAGAACCCCAAGCAATGGGGCAAGATTGCTGAAATGATACCGCATCGTGACTTTGGCACTTGCATTCAGTATTACTACCTGATGAAGAAGGATCTCAACTTGAAAGAGAAGCTCAAGAAGCAGCCTAAGCGGCGGAAGAAGGGCGGACGAGGCAAGCAGAGATCGAGTGCCTTGGTTTCGGAGCTTGGGAATGGCGACGAAGGAACCGAGGAGAGCCAAGAAACTGGCGAGAATGGAGAGCGTCGAAGACCGCGCCGCGCCGCCGCCCCGACATGGGGATTCGAGCAGCCGGCAACAGACAGCGAGAATGCAACTCCCGCCGGAACGCCTGGACGTCGCGGGGCTTCGGCAGCTGCTCGAGGAGAGCAAGGTGAGAAGGTGGATGGTCGGAGAGGTCGCAGGCGTGCCAAGGATAAGGACAAGGACAAGGACAAAGACAAGGATAAGGATAAGGAAAAGGACAAGGACAAGGACGCCAAGGCATCTAAAGCCAACCAATCGCTGTCCGTGACACCTGGAGGTGGTTCTGGAAAAGGCAGGTCTCGGTCTAGTTCCCGAGTACCAGCTGATATTCCAACCACAGCCATGCCTCCAGACGCCGGTCGCGCGCCAACAGCTGGATTCGATCAGACTGTACCTTCTGGGATTCACCCGCCATTCCCCGTTCAGCAGCAGCAGCAGCAGCAGCAACAGTCTCAGCTGCAACAGCAGCTGCAGCCGCAGCAGGCCATTCCAGGTATGGAACGAGTCAAGACCATACCTCCACCGTCAATCTCAGATGTTATGGCTGCTCCCTCGCTGCGGCCGGAACCACCACCTCCTCCGCAGCCTGCAATGACGACATTCAATCTTGCCCAGCCTCAAACCGAGCGCAAGGCTCCGGCGCAGGCCTCAAGCTACTGGAGTGTTTCTGAATCTAATGACTTTCCGCTCCTGCTGCGATCATTTGGCTCTGACTGGACGGCAATTGCGGCTCACATGGGGTCCAAGACAGCAGTAATGGTGAGTTTTGTTTTTCCCCCCCAATCAAAAACGGCAGCTGTCGAGTTGAGAGAGTTGTGCGTGCGTGCGTTATGCGTGTGCGTGTGTGTAGCACAAAAGACTAACAATGCGGCCCCCCTCCACCCAACAACAGGTCAAGAATTACTTTGTCCGCCAGAAGGACCAGGGCAAGACTGAATGGGATGCAATTGTGCAAGAGGCTGATGGGAAGCGGACCAGAGGGGAGAAGCGGCCTGATCCACCGCTGCCCACAACGGGTGGACGAGGACGGAGATATGACAACTCGTCTGCAGTTGGCTCGACCAGGCCATTGGCTGTGGCACCGGGCATGGAGATGCACAACGAGCCAGCCCAACAGAAGATGGAGGCGACGAACCAACCTCCTCGATCCCAACCGTATCCCGGTGGCTATGGTGTGCCCATTGCCCAAGCGCCGACTCAGCAGCAGCAGCAACCGGCTCAGCAGCAACACCAGCATCAGCATCCGCATCAGCAACAGCAACAGCAACAGCATCAGCAACAGCATCAGCATCAGCAACCTCCACCGCCGCCGCCGCCGCAGCAGCAGCAGCCTCCGCAACAACAGCAGCAGCAGCCATTGCTTGCTCAACCCGTGCCTGGACAGCAGCAGCAGCAACAGCAACAGCAACAGCAACCACCACCACAACCGCCACCGCCGCCGCCTCCTCTCGCCATCCAGCAACACGCCGTGCCGCAGCCAGCGTCCCAGGCCATGTCGCCCGGGCCTCGCCCAGCCTTGCGTGCTCCTGCCCAAGCCTTTGGCTTCCCCGAGCATGCGCGAGAGCGCGAGGTGGTCGCACAAGCTCACCAACGAGTCCCGTTGCCGCCCAAGGGTGGCGGTGGTGCCAACCAAGTTCCTGAACTTCGAGACCAGCGACCGCTGGCTGCCGCTCAGCCAATACCGTCCGCACATCCCGACTCGATGCTGGAACGCCAACAGAGAGAAAGGGAGCGTGAGCAGCGCGATCGCGAGCGAGAACTTGCCGCCAGACAAGCTGAAAGACAGTCGATGCGAATAAATGCCGAAGCAGAGCTGGCACATCAACAGCGCCATTACGAACAGCAACCGCCGCCGTACGGCCATCGCCACCAGTCCAGCATCGGCCAAGGACCTCGAGGCGAACCACTGTCATTGTCGCGGCCGCCTTCACAGGAGCCCTCTCGATCCGCCGCCGCCCAGCCATATCCGCCGCCGACGATGCATCAGCAACCGCCGCCGCCGTCTCATGCCGTCCGTGGCATGATAGATCACCCGTCCGTTGCGCAGTCTCCTCCCCTGGGTCCGTCGTCACGGCCGATGTCTTCACTGCAGCAGCGACCGCCACCCGGCCAGGCTCAGGAACCCTACGGCCATGCGCCGCCTCCTGGCCCTCCAGCTCCCACCCCCTCGGGTGCGTCGAGGCCGCCGACCGAGCCTCGCAAGACTTCCAACATTATGTCTCTTTTGAATGACGATCCGCCCCCGGCATCGAAACGTGTCAGCGAGGTATCAAACGTGCCTTCTGGGCCATCAGGAACCCCTCCACCCCCGACCATGGGACGACCACCGCCTCCCGGACCTGCGCCGCCTTCACAGATGCGCCGTGAGCCAGAACCGCAGTATTCCCCGTACGGGCGAGCAGCCACCAATGTTTCAGCCATGCCATCACTCAAGCCTACCGCCTATGGGGGATCGCCTGGTCAGCCTCCTCACATGGGTGCGCCGCGGTCGACCATGGGCATGCCCAACGAGCCAGTGCCTGCCGACAGAGATCCCTACTACAGAGGGCATGCTGCATACCAAACTGGACACCACAGCGGAAACAACTCTCCTCAGACCGCTCATCGATATCCTCCTGCCCAGGCACAGCCCCAATACCCGCCTCAAGGCGGTTATACATCATACGGACCTGGCGGACAACCCACCCACGCCGCCTCGCCGCCGCCTCCCCAGTACGGTGGACACGGCTCTGCCGCGAGATCGCGAGAAGTTCCGCCGTCCGGCCGAGACAATGCCTGGCCTCAGCAACCGACTTCCTCCGGCGCCTGGCCATCTCAGCCCTCCAAACCCTCACAGGGCCCCCCGCCTCAACAGCAATGGGCGCCTCCGCACCCTTCATCGACACCCAAGCCATCCACTCCCGCTCAGGCATGGGCATCCGCCCCTCCTCCCCAGCATGTCGGCATGAGAGACGACCGCGGCGCCCCCGTGTACGCCTCAAGCTCACAACCCCCCCAGCACTCGATGCAGAGTCGATACCCGCCGCCTGGATCTCGCGGGCCCGAGCCTGTGCCCCCGCCACCAGCCCAAGGGTACCCGCGGTATGCGTCAACACCAGGACCGGGGCCCAGAGACCCGAGAGAGCACCCGCGAAGCTATACGCCGGGATATGATTCCCGTGGCCCACCGCCTGGGAGTGGTTATCCCGCGCCTGATCCTCGGGAGATGCAGATGCGGGATGCTAGAGATCCAAGAGATCCCAGGGATCCAAGAGACGTCATGGGAAGAGGCTTACGGCCGCACGAGTATGAAAGGCATCCGGACCAATATAGGCGCTAAGATTTCTTTCCTTTTTTTTTTCACCTATCTTCGCCCACGATGGGCTTCATTTGCTTTTTTGTCTAGTGCATATGATGTATGTATAATGGCGTCGGTAGTTTCGGCTTTTGTATAGGCGTGGGTGAATACAGGTACGGCACCTGGATGCCCTGTGTGCCGTCATGACATGTAATTCCAAGACGATTTGTATCAGTCCCTTTCTTGGGGTGTTGCCATTGGCTGTGGCTATTTCTAGTCCTTGTTGAAAAGCTAGTAGATGTGAAATCCTACTATCCTCTTGCTACCTTTTCAGTCTGGGCAGGGGCATTTGACGACGTGTCTTTCTTCCCTGCAGACGAGCTAACCGAAGACTATCATGTTGGTCTCTTACATCCTGTGATCTACTCCATGCATGCACGGCATTTGGTTACATTTCCATTTTTCATCTAATTGATTTACACAGATGTTACAATCGCCCGACAAACGCGTATCCAACGAGGCTTAATAACACGCACAGTGATCCTGCCTACTCAAAATCTCCATCTCCCCCTCGTCGATCAACCTCACCAGCCTCTCCATCTCGCCTACGTCCCCGTTGACTTCTTCCACGCCCACGCCCACCGTCTCCCCCACCGCTTCTATCATGACCCTTAGGTTGCCCTCTTGCTCCCTCAGCTTGTCAATCTCGCGGGCTAGAAGATGCAGTTTCTCATGCCGGGCGTCGCATTCCGCGTCTAGGCGGCACATGTAGTCCTTCAAATAGGCGTATATGTCCTCCCTCTCGCTGTGCTCCCTCATATCTGCTTCCGTGCGCAGTGGGTGGCGTCTGCGCATGATTTTGTCCGCATGTGCCGCGATGCTGTCTAGTGTTTCCTGGAGGGTGGATATCTGGTCGCGCAGGAGGGTGCGGGTGCGGGCGAGTTGGGATATGTGCGGTTCTGAGGAGTCTAGGAAGGAGACGCGGCGGCTGACGGCGCTGGTGTATTGGGATAGGGGGACGGTGTGGATTATAGGCGGTGCGAGGGGGTGGGTGAGTGCGGCTTGGACTTGGGGCTGGTTATCTTGTCAGCGGCTATTTTGATATAGTTTGCGCTTTAGGGTTGGGGAGGTCGTGGACGAACGAGCGTGAGGGTATATACTTTGTTTGGGAGGCGATGGCATGTGGTCGTGTTGGGGGGTGCGGCGTGAAGTGACAGTTTGTGCTGCCACGACCGGATTTCGTGGTGTTTATCTACTTTATTAGTGGCTTAGATTTTTGACCGTTGTTCTTGGACTCACCAGATGAGATGGACGGGCAGGATGCTGTAGTTGTGTCGTCGGGTATCAAGTCGACTTGTTCATGAGCAGTGTGTAGGCCAGCCGTTTGAGCATGGCATATGGCGCAGTCTTCCGTACTCTGGCGAGAATTCTTTTGGCCTTTGGAACAATTCGTGGTCCATAGGCGATATGTGTCTGGGGATATCCTGCCCGAGTCCTCGCCGTCTGATACATAGGCGTCTGTAGAGTCGACTTCGTCCTTTACGGATGCAGCAGTTGGCTGAATTGACCCCCCTTGAAGGTCTTTCCGGATGTCTCCGCCGTTATAGTAGCCAGAAAAGCTACAGTCTGCTTGAGTATGCCGTGCTGCGGAATTTTCCTCGGACTCTCCGCGCAATGTTGGTCTGGCAGCTCCATGTAGCCTCGACTCGTCGTCACCCCATCGAGTTGTGGCTTCATAACTCGGACGAGGCACCGAAAACACCCTCCCATTCCCATGATTATCTCCCTCAGTATTTGAGGAGTTCAGACCCTGCGCCTCCAACTTCCCAAGCAATAAAGAGCAGTCACTTTGCGGCCCACAGTTTCTATGGTGGCCTTTCAACCACGCATACAAATCTGTTTTTTCGCCATGACTACATCCGAGCATGGCGTTGTAAGCAAACAAGGTGGAGTCTGTGATTTTCCAGTTGCTTGCTTTGCATATACGGCCATCGTTGCAGTGTTGGTCTTTTGGGGCCCGACATTCTGGTATTTTTGGTCGCGCTTGGGGTCGATTGAGATGGCTCTGGTGACAGCGGGAGTTCTTTGGGGTCTCCCTTGCGTTTACAAGCTTTGCCCTGGCTCTCGAACACATCATGCCATCTTCTATATTCGTTAGAAGAGTTTTAAAAAGCACTATGCAGTAGCGAACCTAGCTTAGTATAAGATTCCGGAGGGACTGAGACATGTTGTACATCCACCGTCCTTCGCGGACCGTCCCTTATAATAGCATTCTCCTCGGAATGTATCGGTACATCTAGAATATCAGTATACATAGACCTTGGGTTGAAGGTTCTTACCTGTAATGTTACTCTGTACAGAGCACGACGTGAAAAACGAATCATCCGAGGCTGGTACTGCATGTCAGTATTAGCCAAAACCGCAGACAACATACTCACTCTCTTTCCTCCGCTCCTCCTCCTGTGATACTTCGTTCTTGGATGCCGCGCGCCCCCATTCATCTACTTGCTCCCTCCAGCAGGTCTTTTTGTTCCTTCGACGATGGGAAAGCGAACCGTGGAAGAAGTCACGAATAGTGACGCGTGCGGCGCTTAGGGATCTAGAAAACATTGCAATTGCATCATATGAAGGCACTTGTTAACGCATCGAGGGACGAATCGGTTGAAATGGAGTACGGAAGGCGAACGCAGTCGGAGATGGATGAGTTTTGTTTATTTACACGTAGATGGTACGTATGGCCATGCGATTATTGACAGCTGGCGACAGGTCTGGCAACTGACAGTAGGTCTTGTCAGGCACTGCGAGGATACGCTGTCCTTTTCACGGCTCATGGAAATGGAGAGACGAGCGATAGGAAATGTACCGGACTGTATATTGGTGCACCACGTCGTATTGTTGATATACTAGTTCCTCGGGACTGGCCTGTGTTACCGGTTTGCGATAGTCTCAGTAAAGAACAGTTGCCGCAAGGGCGGTACAGTTCGTGCGACTCGAATAGACCGTTTCATTAAGAAGGACGGTTGTGTAACCGTTCTGTTGTTTCACGGACTCCATAGCCATCTCAAGCCAAGACACGCGCCTGGGGATATCGACACTTGTCTTGTCGGGCCCAGGACACAGATGGGAAATTCAACATCAACGACACATGTGGTTGGCATAGCAAGGTATTCCCCCGTCGACAGCGGCGGATTCGATGACTGTGCCAGTGACCGTATTGGCAGCAGGGATGGTGGAGGCCAGCCCTCAAGAATTGAAAAGACGGGGACTGAGAATTAAAATCTCTGTCGAAATTTACGATGCTGACTGCAGACCTTGACGTGCGGGCCAATGGCTCTCATCCTCATCGTCGTCGTCGTCGTCGTCATCATCGGAATAGCAGAAGAGTGAGGATAGATGCATGAACGGCGGCGTAGAGCAGTAGGGAGGGAAGCCTGACGACGGTTCGGCTGGCCTTGGTTTCGTTCCCGTTTTATGGGCTCAATACAAATAGAATACCTATTCACAGGCCTCGGTTTAGAAAGGCGACGTCTGGATGTACTAGTAATTGACTTATTGTAGCTACAGTGTACACCCAATCCAGAGTGTGGGCCAGAATTCAAGAGAATCTGTTGACTAAACTTGAAGTTTTAACTGGCGGGCGCTTCCACTTGTGTTAGTGCATTTGGGATAATTCAAGTCCCGAGGAAGGGATTCATGTGACCAGCGCCAACCAACCTGGCTCGCAGTCCATTGTTTTCCCGCACACATCTTTTTTTTTTTTGAGCGCAAAGTGCAAAGATTCATTCATCTTGATCCTTTCCCGCATCGCAATGTACTCTCGACTGTGAATCGTGGCATCGTAACTTAGCAGCATTGCACATCCAGCCATTCCCCCCTGACGGCGCACCTGGGCAACTTCGACCTTCTGTGTCACCAACAGGCCAGGATGGTGTCACAGCTCTTCTGCATGTTCTCCATGCGTCTCTTGTACAACCACGTTACCCTTCAACCACTACACAGATGGTTTCCATGATTTTGTTGATAATCCCATCGTGATCTCGTCCCGTCTGTGCACCGGAGCTGCGCAAAAGACTTGCCAGCATATTCCCCTTCTCTATCATGATGTAACGACGCCTTGGAGATGAATACGCAACAAGTAGCTGACATTGACAGCCACTAGACACGCAAAACTGCAGGGGCCAATCTGCAGTCTACCGCCGCTCAAAGAAACGGCGCTCATGGCTCCCCGTGCCCCGAGTAGCCAGCCAGCAACCAACCAACTTGCCAAGAGAGGGTTACACGCAATTAGCCACAAAAAAAATCGAACCTGCAATTAAACTCAGGCCATGAGGAGACGAGAGCTTCCAAAACGGCCTGCCAACATGAGGCGGTTTGGCACCTCTGCGCCAGGGCACGCATCGCGAGTCTCGTTGCGCTCCAACCACCTCCTGAGGCGCCGCAGTCAGCGGCCGAGCCCAAGAGCTGTCTGGATTCCCTCTTCTCCAGTCATCTAGTCTCTACGCTTCGACTCTTATACGCCTTGCGGCAGAAATGAATGTCCTCTTGATCATCCTCTCTGCTGTCAGCATCATCATAGCCAACAACCTCAATACCTTGGACCCTTGCATCCTCTCTTGCATGCTCCAGGTTTTACCCTTGGTTGGATGCACAGGAAACGACGACGAGGTCGTTCTATGCGGCTGCAAGATTATAGATAGGTATACAATCGTTGCCCCAATTGCTGATTGTACCAAGAAAGCTTGCAATATTGAGTCGAACGACTTCCCCCAGGTTCTAAAGAGCACCCAGAGTTGTTTGGATGCCTTCGGGCCCTCTACGATGCTGTCCGATATAACTCTACCACGCTACATTCCTACTATAGGAATCAGTTCATCTAGCCCGCCTGGCAGTCCAGTCTCGAGTAGTGACCCCAGCATTCCTTCAGCTAGCACTACTTCAACCGGTACTCCAAATTCTACTCCAAATGACAGCAAAGGCACTCTGCAAACGATCACCACTACTCCCAGCTCATTAACCACACCGATTCGTACTCTAGTCAGCACTGTTACGAGCAATGCCCCGATAGGTGGTCAAACCAATGGTCTGACGGCTACTCCCACGGCCTCTCCAGCGCCTTCGTCGGATGGTCCAGGTTTATCCCCCGGCGTCATCGCAACCATTGTCGTCTCTACTGTGACCGTAATTGGAGCGCCCTTGTGGCTGATACGATGCTACCGACGCCGCAAACCACGAGCGACGTCTTCCATGGAAGAAAACGCCTCCCCAAAGCCGACAGAGAAACGCAACGAGTCTGTTGTCATGGGGTATACTGAGCTACTAGGTATGTCCACCTTGCCAGGCACACGGATACCGATGTCAATGTATGGACAAGGTGGCTAAACCAAGATAGGTTCGACACAGATGAGGCACGAAATGCCGTCACACACGCCGCCAAACGCCCCATTGCCCCTGTACATTAACACGATAGCCGAGATCGATTCGAAACCCCTCCGAAAGACACCAGAAGTGTCTCCCGAAGACGTATCGCCGGAAGATAACAGCAGCCAAGCAATGTCGTTCAGTACGACGACGGCCGTCTCTCGTCCAGAGCCACCGCAAGCCGCGGACGAGGAGGAGGCCCCGGAAGAGACCCATACAGAGGCGCCGGAGGACTCTTCAGGGGCCTCGGATACCGAAGCAGAGCTAGATATGCTTCGGAAGAGACAAAAGGAGCTGGAAAGGAAGAGGCATTATCTTCAGCAAATTCAGGAGATTGACGAGGAGGAGGCGCGGCTTCAGGGACGGATTGACGAGCTGCAGCGGCAATCCCAATCACACGAGAAATAATTTACCATAATCTGGATCGCGCATATATGACCGCTTTGTGTCATTATTCGATATTTTGTTTTTCGGGGACATCCTATAAGCGATAGGCTTGGCAGTTTCTCGTGGACGGGGGGCAGGAGACCAGAGACGCAAAACAAGATATTTTGCACATATCCATGTAACATAGGCGCATAAAGCGTACCATATACGAATATAACATTGATGACATATGAAAAGTAGTTTTGCAAAAGTTCATGTCTGTATTCGTCTTGGGAGCATGCATAAATGTTCTCTAGGCGTGTTTTGAGCACTTGCCAAAGATGGCGAGCGGTACGTAGGTGAATGACTGGTTAGAGGCTTGTAACGGGGGGCAATAAGTATTTGAACGCTCCTTCGTACTGTCCGCCCATCATAGGGTTAAATAGGATGTACCGTGACGCATCGTAAAATTACCCTAACCCTATTAGGTATGTTGCGTTATGTGGGTACCTGGACTCCTGTCTCCTGAATACCTTTGGCTGTACTTGAGCGCACACCTAAAAGGCGAGCCAGGCGTTTTGCCGAGCCCCTTTTGCTGCATCCAGTTGACTTCAAATTGATGTGGCTCAACTTCCAAACAACATCACTCAAAATATTTGCATTCCTGGCTCATGGGCCTCCACCACAGCTACCCATTGACCTCTGCTTTACCTTTCTAGCTGTTCCTCATCCTATGAGCACCACAGCCCGAGACCCTGAGCCCATCACGAATGACGCTGCGAACGACACAAATCGCTAAACATGGCGGGCCGGCTGCGTTCTTCAAGCCCCGGGGATTTTGTCGTTTGGAAATTCCCTTTCAGAGCAGAGATGGAGAACTTATTTTGATTCATACCGGGGATCCTGGATGGCTACCGCCATAGAGTCACTTTGTTGTCCTGCGTCAGCATCGAGCAACTACCAGCACTGAGAGCGAGCACAGGATGCAAGCCCGGCAAACAACAATGAGACATGGGAGTCGCCATTGTCATCATGGCCGCTCTCGCATCTTGCCGAGGGCGACGTCTCCTTCAGCCTGTGACCATCGCCCAAGGATGAAACGATGGATCTAAGCAATCTGTCAACGATGCGTCCAAACACCACCGAAAGCAAAAGCCGAGCTCTTTCCGTGTTCTATCCAGGGGGGTTTATCGCAAAGAAAAGAGAGCATGCAACCTAAAACAAATGAGCGTGTATGGTAGCGTTGCGCTCTCGCTTGTTCCCTTTGTGCCACAGGGGCCCCATCAATGAAGGGAAAAAAGGAATCAAACCCAGGCAGGAGCACATGAGCCGATTCCAAAACTGCAGCCTTGTTCTTTTTTTCAGTCATATTTTGCGATATATGATACGATTCTTTCGTTTGGTTCTTTGCCTAGATGTTGAAACGTCGGTTAGGAGTCGATGGTCTGAGCGGACTCTGGCCGTGATTCCGATTTTGAAGCCAGCACCACCGCGCGGTGTACATCGTCACAAGTCCATACATGACTACCACCCGAAACGCTGATCAAAGTTTTGACAAAGGCGGTCGAGGCAAGTGCAGATGGGAAATCATCAACGTGCACAGCGATCATCGCCAAATGTAAGCAGGACATGGGCTCCGCGCCTTTGACCAACGTCGACGCGGCGTGAGACACAACAAAAGAAGATGAATCGTACTTGCTCGAGGCAATCCATGCATCAGATAATCCGCATAGATGATGTGCTGAAACATCCCGGCGTCATGGTCGCCGATATGGCTTCGTGGGCTGTGAATGAAGAAATGAGCATAAAAGATGCCCGCCTGCCATGCTCTAGACTCGACTTGACTCGACTCGACTCAATTCATTTCATCAGCAACAACTTTTAAATTCCTTTTCTGAATACATCACTCAGTCAGCCAACATGCGCTACATTTTTGTTTTCCTGTCTTTCGCCGTCGCAGCATTCGCGACTGCCGACGATCCCGATGACGCCTGCAAGGTAATTCCCCCAGGCGCATCCTTCTTTACCAGCCAGATACTAATGCTACTCAATTTCACAGGGCCTTTCTGATGGCTTCGGTTGCTTCTGGACCCAGGGTGATTGCAACAGGGGGGGAAGTACGTATTATTCATCTACCAGTCTTGCAAGATGGCTCTTTGCTAACAGCTGCAAAGCGTGCGTGAGAGGAACATGCCGCGGCCCCGCCTGCGACCTTCCCAACAACGGCATGTACACTCCCCAGAGTTGACGGAGAATCGGTAACCTGAGCGTGGTCCGCATACCACTGTTCATGGAGGGGGGCGGCAACTATATTCCTGTTGGGACGGTTTGGACTGGCTTCTAATCGTACAGCGCAGTGGGAAGGGAAAAGGAGTCAGAAGCAAGAATCCTACTTGGCCTTTGTTTCTTTTTATACTCTGGCATCATGTAATGCAGTATAAATAGCACAACACGGCCTAGTCGCCTCTGTTCTCCTCTACATTTCCCTTTGCACCAAGTTATGTCATTGTTGAACTTTCAAAGCCGGAAGCTACTGACGGTGGCAAATGTGATGACTGCCACTTCATAAGCTGGCAGACTGGCCGAGAGAACCGAGTATGCGGAAACGTCACAGCTGCTCTCGACCAGGGTGTGTGGCCTGTTTGCAGGTGTGGGTGTGGGCGTTTAGATGTTTTCTCCGTACGGGAAGCCCTGTATCATGCACTGGGTTGCATATGCGTCGACGACATGGAAGACAAGCATTGTCCAACCTTTCTTCTTGACTTGCCCGGCCAAAAGACGGGCAACGGGTAGATGAGCTACCTGTCCAACTATCTGGGTACGCATCAAGACGCATAGTCGGTACGAAATTCCAGCCCCGGCATACAAAGCAGCCGCCAGACTACTAATTCGAAGTTCCAACAGGACGAGCAGAAGCAGTCATAAACCACAAGTAATTCTTGTACTAATAATAACGTGGTACCACACTTATAGTCATTCCTCCCACTTACCGGCTTCCCCGGATCCTCGAGTCAGTCCAACATTCACAGTAGCACTACATGTCAGCAGTGTAAGCCGCAAAGCGAGGCCAATTCCTGCGGATGGCCACGACACTCCTCCTCCGTCCCCAGGATACGCCCCTCCCATGTCTTTGCACCCAAGGCGGCCCATGCCGCTCGGCAATGTTATTAAAGGGCGCGAGTCATAGCCCTAACGCCCCCAGAGCTCAGAGACATGGTTCTAATGCAGGAACTGATATAAGGCTACCGCGAAAGAGTGGCGGCAACGAGTGTGATCGCACCTTTGTGGCCATTTATTGCTGCTCGTCACAAGGGAAATCATCTCAATTGTCCTATTCCGTCATGCTGGGCCATCCGATACTTGGCATGCGCCGTCACCGCCACGTAGGTGTGCAGACACCTCTGTCGAATATGGCCTCGCAGCATATCATCTGCTCTGGGACAGGGTTAATAGCTTTTATCGGACGCGATGCAATGTGCGTAACCACATAAATGGGATACGCTGCTCAATTCCCCAAATAGGAAAGACTTTGAGGCCATTATCCCTTTGCGACGGATATATAAGAGTCACGCTATTCGAGGCTTGTGTTGAGTACTTTCCCGTCATGTAATATCAGCGGACTTGTCAGTTATACACCTCTTTGCAATATCAACAACCACTTTCACGCAAGGTTACCAAGATGTCGGCACCAAGTGACGAAGCTGTATCGGCCGGATACACTGAGCTAATTGCCTGCAACGGTAACTTGAAACCTTATGGTCTACGGTGAAGAAAGTCGTTAATAGATTGGACATAGGTAACTTTGGGGACATGTTCTGGCCCGTCGATGAAGCCGCAGAGGATGGCGGAGGCTCGGTGGGAGTCGAGAATGGTTCAGCTGGTCCGGACAACACAGAGAGCCAGGTGGAGGGTGGACAACACGGGGGTCAGACGGAGGGATCCTACAGTAATGGCAAACAATGAAAATATGTGCCTTGTATGAAAGCCTAGTTGCACGTGGTTTTCGATCTTGTTCCTGGGATAAGGCTGCTCTTCAGATTTGTACCTTGAAAAAAGAGGAAATAAGAGGATATCACAACTTCATCGGATTCAGCATCCCAATAGTAAAATCTCGTGGAATGTTTCGTCCAGCCTGGGTGCGGGGAGATGCTGGAAGCGTTGCCTTGGCGGCTGAGTCTTTCGCCCGCTTGTCATAAATGCTTGCAAGTGCCTCGCAGCCAGGACTGTTTGGACTCTGCCACCCTGGACGCCTTGCAATCCGCCCACGGTCTGTGTCTATGGTCTGTCTGAGACATCATGGTCAAGTGGCAGGGCTCGTACGTATTTGGCTGACAAGAGCCTCAGAGGAAAGCCCAGGTGCCAAAGCCGAGGCCAATTCTTTTTTGAGGGGCAAGGTAAAAGCTAGAATCTGCAACACATCAGCACTGCAGCAGTCACGTCCCAGGGTCAACCGGCGTTGTATGGCGAGGCCATTTTACCCCCCTGGCTGTGCCCGTTCTCCTTCGTCTGTCTGGCAAGCCTCACCTAACTCGGTGTTGTGCAGGGACTTGATGGCAGGGTCGGTGTGAAGCATGAGCTTACTTCAAAAACACCACGGTCCTTCTCGCCATCCTGCAACCTCGACTCTTCCACCTCGCCCACCCGGAGCCACCGCTCGCGGCGCCGGACGAGGCAGTGGAGGCAGTTGCAGATTTCTCGGGCCCGAGACTGCTTTTTATGAATTGCCAGTGAGTTGTTACAGAAGGTCTCCTATCACTTCTTGCCTCAGTTCAGTGCTAATCCAGCGTGCGGAGTAGCTCGTACCAGTTTTAACAACTACCAGCTCTTTCACGGGGGCAAACCCCGAAATACCTTGAAATACCTGTCTGGCAGCCGCGCGGGTGTAGACCCGCGCTCAACCCATTCAGGGATTCTATCATGATTATCTCATAACGCAGTGCGAGCCTGCTGTTGCGGGTGAGAGTGACGATTTCATATACCGGGGAGAACACACTGGCAATTCTGCTCGCGACTGCGGCTTTGATCATCTGCCGGTTTTTGGAGAGTCCTTGAGCTTGGATGTGGTCACTGGTTCGGGCCCAGAGTGGCGGGTCAATCAATCCTTCTTGCAATCCGTCCAAAGTCATTGCATTGATCCTGCTCGACTGTCCGTCTGTTACCGTGTACCCTCTGAGCCTCTGATTGTCCACAGCCAAAGACGTCATGCCGCTGTTGCAAGCGCTTATACCGTTGGAAAGTCTCTGCTACCTGTCGACCTCGTACCCGATGAATCATCTGGTGCAACAACTGCATCTTCACCTACCTCTTCAACATGGTCGCCGGACCGACCCTTCTTCACGCCCACACAGTCTCAAAATCAAGCCCCGGCACAACGGCTCTCAGGGCCCGGACCGTCACGCCTCTCGGAAACTTTATCGATTCCCTCTAGAAATCAAGAGGTGTGTGGCGCCGGGCTTGCCACAACCTACTCCTCTGTCAGGAGTCGGGGCAAATATCCCTGCGAATTCGACCCTAATCACGGCCGTTTTGTATCGAAGCGTGACCGCGCCAGGCATTACGGGTCAATTCACGGCGTCTACCCGTTCCAATATGTCTGTGGAGGCTGTAACAGGCATGACCACCGCCGGGACGCGCATTTACGGCATCTAGTAGCCTGCTCTAGAGAAGGTTCTAGCTACTGCTGCGGGAAATGTGCTGCCAAGTTTCCTGATAAGAAGGGGTATTGTGAACATTTCGAGCTGTGCAAGGACGCACGCGGTAGGAGGAAGAATACTCCACCAAAAAGAGGATGAAGAACGACGCATCGCGGTCAAACATCTTTGATAACGTCTGGTAGCAGATTTCTTGAGATTCCTGTGTTGCTGTGTCTTGGATCGAGTCGCATCCAGGTAGTCACCCTGCTCAGCGTCTTCTCTATAAAAGACCAAGCGGTGATATGAGGATGCTGGCTCTGAGCAGCAGACACTGCCACGCGGTAGGTAGCAGGAACGGCGAGACACTCCTTAATTCCCCATATACACGTATAGACAGAGTGTCTCCTGTATTACCCTGTATTACCATTGGCAGTCACGGTATTGTTTTGTTGATCGCTGTCTCCCTGTCGTCTTTTCACCTGCACAGCAGGGCTTTGCCGGTTTGGATAATCATTGCCGCTCTGGGCAGGAGGGGGATTCAGGGATTCCAAATTATATTCAGATTGTTGCGCTCTGCTTTGTTTTGTTTTTGTAGACACGCACATATTGTAGGCTGGACCGGAAGTTGCGCCAGCACATCAGTCTGGAGATTAGTACAAAAGGTATGTAAAAGTCAATGATATTCAATGCTAGGTATTACTATCGTAAGCTCCCTTTTATGGTGTTGAGCCGGCTTACCTAAACCGGCTCGCTTCCTGTTGATACGGATTGATTCTGGTCAATTATCACTCCTGTTCATGCTTAGTATCAGCACATCAAGTTTAAGCATTAAGGAGTTAAGCAGGTTAGCGTGGCCGACGAGGAAACGGAGGTCGTGGTTAGGTTGGGCAACCTCGCGGGAGAGCTTGGCCCGGGCCTTGTGGGCGAGGTAGTAGGTCTCTAAGAAGAGGAGGGCCTCTTCATCCAAGGCCATGCCAGGTTTCTGCTTGTCCATCGTTTGGGATAACCAAGCGACTCTTCTTTGTACAAATTGTATTTCTGTCTCAACCAAATGATGCTGTTCCGCAAGTCGATCGCTCAAGTCTGCGATGTTCTGTGCTATATTATTCAATTGCTCGTGCATAGCTGTGAGACTGCACAACTCTATGACGCACGCGTCATGTTGTGACGGAACGCGCAAAGCTTCTTGGCTACCTGTTTCGTCGTGTATCTCGATATTGCGATTAAAAAAAGCCAAAGTGTCGTGCAATATCTCGCTCGGACTTGCCAATTGACTTACTTTGGCCTTGGACTTTCTTGGTCTTCGTCGTCGCCTTCCACGCCGCAGTGGGAACCGAGCTGCACATGGATCAAGAATATTGCTCGAAACCGCAGGGTTCTGCCCCGATCTGGGTGGCTTTGGCTCCTCAGCGGCATGATTGTCTCTGGCCGAGCTTTCGTTGATGGATTCTTCACAACTCAAGGACTGGTCAGGGAAGACCCAAGACCTTTCTTTAGTCCAAACCCCCATCCGAGTATGTTGCGGAGAATTCGTCCCGAGCAGCGCGGGAAACTCATAGTCATAGTCCAAAATTCGAAAAGTCATTCGATCCTTTGTGCTTGTTGAAGCGCCAAGTCTTCTCTCACTTTCCCTTTCGACGCCAGGGGTATTTGAAGGACTGTTGCGGTAGTAGACAAGGAACTTCTTCTGCGCCTGGTCTATCTTGGAAACGCCGTATTTCCTATGAAGTCTCTTCATGCGTCTTTTCATTGACGCCAACCGCTCTCTGGGAAGCCCGGCCAGGCAGTACGACCTAGCCTCAAGCGCCTTGTTGGGTGCGAGCAGTGCTGTCACCTGGTATACAGCCTCTCCCCAATGTTCACCCTCGCTTATCAAGCGGCCGAGCTGGAACTGTTCACCTAGAATGGAACCAACGTAGGCCTCATATGGTATCTGGCTACTCTCGAGGGACGCATCTACCCTCTCTGTTAAGAGGCGCTTGACATCCTCAGGTTTCCACTCCCAACTTTCGTTTTCTGCATCCAAGCTGGGATTTGTCAGAATTTTTCAAGACACCAAAAGAATAGATAGGAGCAATAATTAATGAGGGGCTGCCTTACTCGTATAATTTGCCAGTCACGTCGTCCAGCTCGCGTTGTGCCTCACATTCGAGCTTGAGCTCAAACCGTCTGCGTTTGCAGTTCCGCTTGCATTGGGCTAAGTACGACGAGCCAAATCCAGCATATCGTCTCAAGAAAGAAGAGGGAATGCCTTTGATCTCGCCCCCATTGCCAAGGAAAGTGTTTCTCCTCCATGGTTTCGCCTTTCCTTGAGTGCACTTCCATTTCTGGACAGCGGATCGACCATATAGCTCATCGGTGACCCTTGTCAAACTTTCTGTGAGACTAAACATATTTTGATATCGACGGTTGGGCAACAGTGCAGTCAGTTGGCAGGACTGTATCGAGACCTTCTTATTTCGAGGACCTTTTTGTGCGTCTCTATACCTGATTGCAACTTGGCGAAGGTCGTTGAGCCCGCCTTGGAATCTCCGACCTCCAATCCTTGGCGTCTGTGGTGTCGCTTGCTTCCAATCCCAGTGACGGCTTTCATCTTTCGTGTCAGTTTCTATTAAGACTTTCTTCTTTGAATGTTCGGGCGAGTCTGCCACCATATTCCTCAATTCATCAGAAAGCAGGCGTATAGCACTCATCATGAAGCAGCTGTCTGGGGTTGAGAGCGGGTGAGGAGGCTCGAATATCCATAAGTTGTGAAATGATTTGCCTCTTAGCCGTTGTCTATCATCATTGGCACGGCTGCACACCTCCAGCCACAATACCATGGATGACATGGCAAGCAGCGGGACAAGACTTTCGCAGCCTGAAATTTGGGCGTATTCTGCAACGCTTGCTGGAGCTAAATCAATTCCAAGGATAGTTCCTTTGGCTGCCGGTGATGGATATTTAACAAAGAAAGTCAAGTCAGAAAAATCCAGTCAACGCATAATAAGGCGTCCATAGTATGCGAGGCCATTTTCCTTTCAAACCAATGATGTACCCATGTATCTCCTGCAGTCATCCAGAAGTATGAGCAGGCAGCAATGGTACACTGCACTTTACAGCCATTGACGCCTCTGTCTTGCCTAGTCGAACTTCTTGATGCTGTGGAACGTCTGAGTTGGATGACTTGGCCCACCGGGGCCGCCAGATGCACTCTGTCCTTAGTTGGATGAATTGTTCGTCAACGGCGTCTGTTTAACCATGTTTCCCAGAGCGAAGTTGTCAGTCTTGGATTCTTCTTCCGGGAAAAGCATCGATTTGTGTCTCATTGCATAGGCAAAAGTTGCCGATCAGACAAGCGTCACACGAAACAGTACGTGCAGCAGTGCCTGGCGGAGCATTAATCATTTCGTTAAATTCTTGCAGCTTGCAACAAGAAATGATCTGATGGTTCGTTAGGCAAAGGATTGCTTGTGGGCGACAGCTGGCGCCTCCAAGTATGCCACGGCTTTCTGCACCATCTCGGCAGGCACTACGACCTAGTACGTACTAACTTTATGTCGAGATGCATAAATTCATTTATGCGTCAAAGGAGTTGGTACAAATTCACAAAATTTGCTCTAGATTAATAGAACAAGGACCTACTGATTAGTAGAACGCCCTCCCAGCTGAGGAATTCAGCTGACAAACCCACCCAGAGCATGCAAGGGGAAACAGGTTACATAGATAAAAAAAGTAACGACGAGTATCTCCGGTTAAATTGATACCATTTCAAGGTGTTACAATGCTTCATCTTGAGAAATGTAATCTTCTATAAATGAGTTCCCCAACGCTATAATGCTAAAATGACTCTGAGCAACTCTGTGCCACGGTATTTCACAGCTTCCTCCGTCAGAGACACCTTGTCCTTGTGGTTTTAACCTAAGGACATAATCGTGTGGTCATACTAAACACGGCAAGACTATTAAAATCACCATCATTTATGCACTCGACTTCGTAGTTGGTGGTCTCTGAGTGCAACCAACAATACAGCTAACGCGATATCGTATTTGATGTATTTCAAGCAGCCTCAACCAACACTCGACTTCTTCTGACCCTTCTTTCTAACATCAGCAGACTTCGCACAGCCAACAGTATAATGGTACACAAATCGCATCCTACTTCTTCGTCTTTCCTTTGGTTTTGGTTTTGCCCTTGCTCTTGGGCGGGTCGTCCTCGTCACCATCTGCGGCAGCTTTGGCAGACTTCTTGGCGGGTTTCTTCTTGGGCTGCTTGATATACTTGTCTTTCTTGAGATCAACTTCATCTTCGTCGACGTCTGGAACTTCAGCCGCCTGTCCATCGTCTTCCTCTTCAATAGCTTCTTCCAAGTCGGGCACTTCCTTTGTCTGCTTCTTGGGTGCAATAACATTGCTCGCTTTCATAAACGGGACAGGGTGATTCATTGAATTGTATCTTGAGGCACGTCAGTGGTTGGCTCTACTTCTTCATATCATCATGCTTCAACTTACGTTCTCGTGAAGGCAGCCTTTGTCTTCGATTCAATAGAAACCTTCTCTTCTGTCATTGGTCCAACTCCAAGCTCTTGAATGGCATCAAAGTCTTCTCTGGTGAGGAAGTAGCTGTCCATGAGACCAATGACCTCGGGCACCGCATCCGTTCCTTCATTTTCCAAGCGGTTCACAAGCTGTTTCCAGAGCACAGGTAGATACTGCTGTCGGACCTCGTTGTGGTCGCCCGAGGAGTTGAGACGCATGTGCGAGTGAATCTCGCGGACATATCTGCCCAGTTTGCCCTGCTTGCTAAAGTTGCCCAGCCAGGACGTAAAGTTGGATCCCAACAGCTGTCCAGAAATGAAGCTTGCTGGTCGGACGGTGCTGAATACCGCATGAGTAGGCATCAGACTCCAGTGTTGCTGAGGGCCGTGAATCATGCGATCAACGAGGTCACCGTCGCTGATACTCTCAGCTGCCTGATCAAACAGCTCCAGAGCTTTCAACTGTTCCTCGCGCTTATTGTATCCTTTCCCATTCAGTGCCATTGGCTTGGTTCGTAGATAGTTCTCTTGGATCATGAGGAAGCTGAACTCGTGATCGTTAAAGTACAGTTCAATCTTGTCATTTAGGGTTGCCTTGCTCGCGGGGGCGAAGAGACCGCTTCCCAGCAACTTTTGGCAAATATCCCAGGGCTTTAGGATCACATGCTTCTCCCAAGCCTTTGTCATGGCCTTGCCCTCGTCAAAATTCATGGTCGTTTGGTCGAGTTTGGCGGCGGAAATCATGTTAATGATTTGTCGAATGTCCTTGTTGCTGCCTTCGATCAAGGCATCAACTACCGGTGGAGGGAGCTTGAGGCCCTCGCGGTGGCAGATGGTCATGATTCTCGATCGCACTTGGTCAACTGTCGGTCTGTTGAATCTGATATCAAAAGCAACGTGGTCAAAGGGCTTCATCTTCGGGAGCCGGCGTTCGTTACAGATGAGGATCAACGGGACCTCCGTCTTCTTGCAAAACTTGGCAAGAGCTCCAACACCACCTCGGTCACCGGCGGACATGCCATCCACTTCGTCCATGACAAGCACGATCTTTTTCTTGGCCGCATCAACGGACTTGCCATCGCCAGCAAAGTATCCCAACAAGGAGGTGTTATTCATAACATCGCTCACGCCGTTTTCGACCAGCTTCTTGCTCCTTACATCACTTGCATTGCTCTCCAAGACATCATAGCCTTCCAGCTTGGCGGCAAGATGAGCAGCAGTCGTTTTGCCAATGCCTGGCGGACCAGAGATGATTATGGCCCGCTCTCCGCCTAGACCGTCTGCGCCGCGTCGCTGAAAGTTGTACTTTTTAGCCTTGGGCCAATTTCGAAGCCATGTTTGAATCTTTTCCACCTGAGCCTTGTTGCCGCAAATATGGCTCAGTTGCGTAGGGGCATACTTGGATGTGAGAAGCTGGGCGGCTTGGGCTGGCGCAGGCTGAGGAGGAGGGCCAGCAGCACCGCGGGCGCTGGCTGCTTCTTGAGCTGCCTTGGCAGCTTCTGCTTTTCGTTTCTTTTCCTCCGCCTCCATTTCCGCAATCTGCTGCTTCACTTTCTCCTCTTCCGCCTTTTTCTTCTCCTGCGCTTTCTGTGCCCCCTTGCCAGAGCCACCATAGGCAGGCAATTTGCGAATAAGGTCAAACAGACCGTTCTCGTCAATGGTCTTGATACCATGAGACTTGATCTTTGCCAGCTTGCTGGGCCCGGCATCATCACCAAGAACAACAAAACTCGTCTTGCTGCTTGGCTGACCTGTCACTTTACCGCCATAGCGCTTGACAAGTGCTTGAGCTTCATCCCGCCCGATCGTCTGCAAGACACCAGTGAAGACAAATGACAAACCAGAGAGGCACTCTTCCTGGCCTTCTGGTAGGTCGGCTGACGCCACGGGTTGTATTGAAGCATTGCCTCCTCCAGCAGCAGCTTTCCTCCAGTCAAACTTGGCGTCAGGGTCCTTTGGGGGTGGTGTTGGCGGTCTCACAGTGGCTACACTATCAAGGATATTTTGGATCTCCGAGTCTTCAGGCTCATCTGCCTTCTTGGCTCGAGGAGCACGTGGTTTTGTCGCGGTTGGTTTCTTCCGAGGCAACTCCTCCTCTTCCTCTTCCGATTCCTGTTCCGGAGATTTTCGCTTCCTGCTGGCCGCTGGCGTAGCTCGACTGTTGGCTTTTTTGTCCTTCGCCGTTGCGGCCTGTCCACGACCGGCAACACGTTTCGGTTTCGGTAGTACCTCTTCTTCGGACTCTTCTTCAGCATAGTCATCGTTCTTACGTTTGTTTTGACCTTTGACATCGGCGGCATAAATATCGTCTCCATCGTCATCTCCATCATCCATGTATGCATCGTCATCATTGTCAACATGATGCTTCTTGTAGGATGTCGTGGGCTTCTTCTTCGCTGGTGACCCATTTTGTACGGCTGCATCTGGCTTTTTATGTCGTGGACTTGCTCTGACAGGTATCTCCTCCTTAACTGGCGTTTTTGAGCTTCCCTTCTTTGGTGTTGATTGCTTGGAATTCGCCCTCTTCTTAGATGAAGCAAAGTAGTCGTCTGCGGAAATAACGACTCCTTGCGGTTCCAGATCACTACAAACATCAATCCCATGAATTGACTCAACGGGGAAATTGTATATACGCACGTCTTCTTTTTCCTAGGAGCAGCCTTTACGGCTGGTTTGGTTTCCCTGGGTTTTAGTTAGTCTACTGTACGCCAATCGTGAAATCATGATTATGACGTACACAACTTCATCCTCATCGCTGTCTTCGACAACCTTTCGATTTTCTATACCACAAATTAGATAGGAGCATGGAGTGCACCATCGATAACAATCTTACTCGTTCGCTTTGATTTGGGAGCATCTTCACTCTTGGTCGGTGCGGGCTTGGGAGCTGCACCACCCTTGGGGGTGAAGAAGGACCGGATATCAGGCATACTGCGATGGGATAGAGTTGAAAATTTTGTCAATTCCAACAGAAACTCAACCAAAGGGCATCAGTACCCTTTTCATGGTCATTGAGCGGTGCTGCCTTGAGAACGAGTCGTCGTGATGTCCAGGCAGGCAATTGAGGAGCAGCATAGAAATTGTCCTGTGACGTGCACGTTGCTCCACTAGCGGACGCGAAGCTGACGCGAAGTCTGTGACCTGAGCTTAATTGGCACCAGGCAAGTGCTCCAGTCTCGACCAGTGGTGGGGGCCTGAAATTTCTGGCCGCAACCAATAGGCTACACGGCATTGCTAGGGAAGATTTTCGAGAGCTCTTGATATGTGAGAGCGTCTGTCAACGGCTAATTTCCAAACAATGGCGTCTGTCAACTCGTCAGCATTCCTCAATGCCTTCCGAGGGCTGAGAATTTGTGCTTCGGTACCCCTGCGACAGATTCGAACTCCTATTTTACGTCAATCAAGGACTCTCGAGGCGGCAGGGCGGCTCCCAAATGTCCGGGCTTTTTCTACCACATCCCCCGTCCTCGGGACGTGGCTGGAACCAAGTTTGAACAGAAAGAAGAAGATGGCCAAGGGTCGCCCGCGAGTAGCTACGGGCGGATCAACAAAGGGCACCACTGTCATTTGGGGCGACTATGGTCTGCGCATGATTGACCACCACAGAAGAATCAGCGCCAAGCAATTGAAGATGGCTGAGGACACAATCAAAGTGCGACTTCGAGGCGAGAAATACCGATTGTACAAGCGAAAGTGTTGCAATGTCGGTGTCTACGTCAGCGGTAACGAGGTGAGCAGAAGTTTTTTGCACGGGGTCCATAGGCCTGTATACTAACGTTTTCAGATGCGTATGGGTAAAGGCAAAGGTTCCTTTGATCACTGGGCGACGAGAATGGCCGTGAGCCAGGTGCTTTTTGAGATCAAGGGGCGAATTCACGAGCAGATTGTAAGAGATGCTTTCCGTCTGGCAGGAAACAAGTTGCCTGGTAAGTCTCATTTTCTCCCAAGCTACGTCGAATGGTGCGGCTAACAGCATGTAGGCCAGTGGGAATTTGTCAAGAAGGGCGACGCTCCGGTTGTTGGGATTACGAAGTTGGATGGAACTACTTTGGAGGATTTGAAGCGACCGAGGAGACAAATCGCACCGACCGAATTGCTTCAGGCCTCTGCTCCTACGCCTGTTACCGAAGCTGGCAGCACGAGTGACGCTTCTCGTTCGCCGTGAGAATTCCCATGGTACCGCCAAATTATTGTACAACAAGGGACAAGGCATGTAATATAGAATTGTATATAAAGGCGAAAGCAGAGGTGCAAGGGGGTAGAATATATTCCCAGATACTGTACTTGCAGGGTTTGTTTTGCTTGTAATATGTGCTACAGGCTCCTTGAGCTCTACTCGGAAACGCAAGGTTCTCATGCAAAGCAATTTTACTCAACAAAAAAATAACATCACCCCAGTGATACGCCTAATGCCATATTCTCTTATAAATGTAGTTTGTTGTATTATACGTAGTACTTAGGAACCTAGTAGTACTAGTAGGAAAGTCCGTGTAGAGTAGTGGGTCCTACCGGTACGTACCATCCCACTTACAGAAACCGGCTGCACTTAACGCGCCAACGCGTCTCCCCAATCTTCAAAAAGCTTCAAACCTCAACCCACCACGCATCACCATTGCACGACGCCAACCGCAACAATGGCCCTCATAGTCGACAAGCATCGACCACGATCCCTCGACGCTCTCACATACCACCCAGAGCTCTCCCACCGTCTTCAATCTCTAGTTAGCAGCTCCCGTTCCTCCAACGCTGTCACTGACTGACCGACAAAATCAGGCACAAAGCGGCGACTTCCCGCATCTCCTTGTCTACGGCCCCTCGGGCGCCGGCAAAAAGACCCGAATTGTAGCTACTCTCAAGGAGCTCTACGGACCAGGCGTAGAAAAGATCAAAATCGACTCGCGCGTCTTCCAGACCACCAGCAACCGCAAGCTCGAGTTCAACATTGTCGCATCCGTGTACCACCTCGAAATCACACCCTCCGACGTAGGCAACTACGACAGGGTCGTCGTGCAAGATTTACTAAAGGAGGTCGCGCAGACGCAGCAGGTGGACCAGTCCGCCAAGCAGCGGTTCAAGGTCGTCGTCATCAATGAGGCGGATCAGCTCTCGCGAGATGCGCAGGCGGCGCTGCGTCGAACCATGGAGAAGTACTCGCCCAACCTGCGGCTCATCCTGCTAGCGAATTCAACGGCAAACATCATCGCGCCGATTCGGTCAAGGACACTGCTTGTGAGAGTTGCCGCCCCGACGCACGAGGAGATTTGCAGCGTGTTGGCTATGTCTGCAAAGAAGGAGGGTTGGGGGGTGGTCAAGGGGTTGCACCAGAGGATCGCCGTGGAGAGTGGGCGGAATTTAAGGAGGGCGTTGTTGATGTACGAGGCTGTCCACGCGCAAAAGTACGTCTTTTTTTTATTTTATTTTTTTCTCGTTTCTCCTTCCACAAGTCTAGGTTACACTGGTACAGGGGTTGCTGACTGACTGGGCGGGAATAACAGTGAGAAAGTGTCTGAAGATACGCCCATACCTCCAGCAGACTGGGAGGCTTTAATCGGCCAAATCGCCAAGGAAATAATGGATGAGCACACGCCGGCGCGAATCCTGCAAGTCCGCGCCAAGTTCTACGACCTGCTAACGCACTGTATCCCGCCTACGACGATTCTCAAAACCCTCACGTTCAAGCTCCTTAACCTAATTGACGACGGTCTCAAGGGCGAGGTGATTCAGTGGTCTGCGTTTTATGAGCATCGTATTAAGACGGGGACAAAGGTGATTTTTCATTTGGAGGCATTTGTGGCCAAGTTTATGCGTATTCTTGAGATGTATCTCATGAGTATGGAGATGTAATATGTAGATTAGCTGGGCGTTTAGGGTTGGTTCAATCGCAATGACGGATGGATGTCATGTGCTGGCAGATGTTGCTTCTGCGAATTGATGACTAGGCGCAGCTGATGGGCCGCGGCTACAGTTGGGCAAGCACGCCGCTGTGTGTTCTGCATTGGCCATTAGCAGAATGCAATTGAAGGGACCGGAGCAAATGGTACAATCTATCCAGCTCAAGCCGAGCCCAGTCACGCGGTTGTGGTCATGTAACCTAACCGCTGAAGCGCTTTTAAATTTCCCTCATTCCGTTTCTGGTACTCCGTACACCGAATGCGACTTCCTAGGCCCCCTGGTGGTAAAAACGATCCAACTATGTATCTACTTCAATACCTAAAGTACCTACTTTAGTATTGCTTAGTTGGCAGGTCATTCCGTAGACATAGTTTCGTATTCGGGGCCTGGAACACGGGGAAGGACGTTTCTCAGTTCTACACATCCGTTGCCAAGCTCGAACACGGCCCCAAATAGGCCTTCTAGCTGTGCGTCTACATCATCATGTCTGTCACTTGACATATTTTTCCGGACCTCTCCATGCCCAGGACCGGTTGGACCCCGACATCCAGGGGAAAGGTCTTGGTCTGACGTTTGTGGAGACTAGCGGACAGCGGAGGACTCGGGAGCCTGTTGAGACACTTTGATCCGGGCCAATGGATGTCGGAGGATGTCTGGTTAGCGATAGTCGATTCGATAGCGTTGTGCATGTTCCTGTACGATACTGCTGTTTCGGGTACCAGAAGAACTGTCTTTCCAGCCAGCACCACACTCTCCTAACATGAGCGCACGTGCATCATCCTCCTTAAGCATCCAGAAGGGTTTACGGTTTTCAGCCGGCTGGCCGCGGCACTTACACGGTACATCGCCAAAGGGAACTGGTTAGTACTTATACGCACCCCGAATGTAACTACGTAGTAGGTAGGTGCATGTGCGTTGGCTGGGAAAATGTCTAGCTAGTCTACCTAGTGGCGCCGAGCAGGTAACAGCAAGATCAACAGCTCTGAATGCACACAGGAGTGCACATGAGTGAAGGATGTCATGTCAGTTCTAGAAGCGGGGATTTCGTCAGAAGACGGTGCGAGGCAAAACGCAACTGGTCAGAACGGGACATCCTGGCACGACGCCACGTACATACCTTGGTTCCTAGCATCTAGTATGTCGATTGTACTCAAGTAGGCAGTACTAGAGTTATGTTAGTGCGTGCTTGGCGATAGACGTACAGATCTTGTAGAGGCCAAGTTGATGCGGAGGGGTGGCGCGTGAGGTGCTACGACTGAGACCGCAAAGCTGATCTCTTCAGTTAAACGCTATTCTGTGATCCAACACTTTGCGTGGCGAGGTGTGCGTGGCGGCTGACTTCTCGTTACGCCATGATGATGCATTGCATCAAGTGCTTATGCTTGCGAGTAGCTTCATGCTGGACATTGATTCCAAGTGCCGAGGCAGGCTGGCCATGACGACGTGGACCTGCATGCGGAAATTTAAGTTTTGTTCTGGAATTAACTTGCAGCGACGAGTTCTTCGAGTGCAGAGATAAGATGGACCAATATTGGCCAACGACAACTTCATACCGTGAGAATATTATACCTTGATTCAGTACTGTGCAGTATCTCCAGACCAAACCAGACCAGCTTGACCATTTGCCAGTGGATAAAATAGGAAGGCGACAGCCAACAAGAGACCAGATTGTACAATGAGTTGTTTTCCTTATGTTGCAAATGGACAATAGCCCCTGCGTCTTACCCACAAGGACGGTTCAGACGGGGGCAAAGTAACCGCTTTGGCAAAAGACTGCATACTACCAATAAGACGAGAAGCGAATAAGATGGTTGGATAGGTTGTGATGAGCAGGGTAGGTTGGATATGCCGGTTGTTACCATCGGCCAGGGGCATGGGGAAAGAATTTTGATTCTGGCCGTGGGGACCCTGGTTACGTACCTGCAACATGAAAGTGGGGAGAACCCATGGTATCTCTTTGTGTTGACTGCAGACGCATGCTACCACGACGGAAAGGAAAGAATTTGCGCAAGTTGAAAATGGAATGGAGCCTTGTCGAATCAATGACTTGCAAGAGGTCAAGGTTCAATACTGGCCGGCTCCTTCCCTTCAGTGTCGTCTTGGGAAGCTGGGGCAAGCCTACCCGGTCGGAAAGGGCAAGACCCCGGATCTGAACGAGGCTCCGGCAGGACCAAGGGATCGGCTGCAGCTGCGCGCGAGTGATGGTACTAATAACTTCTGCCCGGCGTCCCGGTTGTTCCGTACCCAGTTACTCCGGCCTTGGTACTCCGTACTGCAGACATAAAACGTCAAGATCAAGACATGGGAGATATTAAGTGTTTGGCGCAGCCGCTCGTCCGCCGCCCGACAGATCTGGATCCGACTCGGGCGAAGGCAAGAACAAAGGGCACGGGCGGATGCCTCCACCCGTGGTATGAAATAATACTAGTAGGCCTTGACCTGGGGGCCATTGGCGCCATGATGGGCTTGCAGCAGAGGGCTTGGAGGCTGGAGGTCTCGGGGGAAAGGATGGTGTGCTGGAAGGGTTTAGTGGCTCGAGGTTAACGTAGCGTAGCGTAGTCCAGCTTAGCTTAGCCTAGCCTAGCTTCGTTTTTAAAGTCTAGCAATGTTGACTGAAGCGCTGCTCCTGATCAAGTGGGCGGTGCGTGCCTGCCTGCTGAAGGTGGTGACAGTGATGAGCTCCTCCGTACATGTACTGCGGAGGTGGCTACGTCCTGGTTGCTGCTGGTTGCAACTGCCCTGTCAGATCCAGTTTCGAATATTAGATGGAGCCAGACGGGTCAATTGGTCGAATCCCGCGGCCTCCAGCAAGCCACAGGCATCTTCTGGATCAAAGGCGACATCTGGACAGCCCTGCACTCCATCCTCCCTACTCCCCAGCCCTGCAATCAGCATCGTGTGCTCGGCAAGGTGGATGTCGATGTGCAACTCTGGGAGACAGGATTGGACGGCAAATGGCAGGTTACGGAGCAACCTGTCCCAACAACTCCAGGTTCCAGCTCCAGGTTCGGCTTCCACTCGCCCAGCCGCGCCAACTACCTAGGTACCTGGGTAACTGGAGTCCTGGAGCGGTCTTCCTCCGCAATCGCAACGCACACAATATCGGACTACTACAAACCTTGGGGAGGTTTGCCGTGGCCGAGACATGAGCAACAGCGTACTTCTTGGCCGGCTGGAGGAGGGGCAACACCGGCGGGTTGTGACGGAGTACGGGAGTACATAAGAGATTCCAATCCCCCATGTACACGAACAGTCTGCTCCCCCTCTTCCCCT